GGAGGGGATGGGGAACTTATCAATTTGTTGACTCAAATGGAGAATACATACCGACCCCCCACCCCCACCGTCCCCGATTCTCATCCCCAAAATTCCTTGAATGATTAAAACCGTGATGGGCCAGAGATAGGAAGGGCATCTCCAATCCCATCCCGCCATATCTACCTTTACGTACATTTTCTCTTTTATCCAACTCTCTAATTTTTTAAAATAAAATAAAATAAATAATTATTATCAAATACCTATAATTTTTATTTTTTTAAAAGCAGAAAGCAAAGACGTCTATCCAACAGGCAACTATAAAACATATACACATTGCACCTAATATATTCAATTCAAAACCATTTAGCTGTTATAAAGTGATAGGCATGTAAAATTTATTGCCATACACATGATGCACAACTCATACTATATAATAATACAATGAATATATATAACTTGTAATGTAGAATTGGGTGGTATGGTGGGTAGCAAAAATAAGTAGTGATATATTGAATTGGGTCATTAAATATTTGCAGGCAACTCTGACACAATTCACAGTGCCAATGTGCCATACAAAAACACAGCCTTTCAATTTGGCCACCTTACCCAATTACCCAACAATTTGGTTGGTTGCGGTTCATCCTCTTCAATGCATCATTATTACATTTATTTTAACCATTACTCCAAATTCAAATTTTTAAACCTCTCATTCAACCCAACATTGAAGGGCATGTTAATGCCTACTCATTCGCCAGCTGTTCTAGGGCAGCCCTACTTGAAGGGTCATAACCTTTAAATTTGTACCTATCTAACAAGTAATGATCGAGTTAGAAAACAAGAAAAGGGCTTTTTTTGTAATTGTAATATATTTGATTCATGTTCCCGTTCTAAATAGTTTTGATAAATAATATCAATAGATTTCTAATTTTGATTCTAAAAAATTTCTGGTAAATAACATCAAACAAATAATATCTTTATTGTCAAGAATCTCACATTGAAAAGAAAATAGACTTTACATACGTTCATAATAGACATGAGCTACTTATCTCATTGCCAATTGGTTTTGAGATCGAACCCCATGAATATTAATATAGTATTAGAGCCCAACTGCTCAAATGAGCATCCTGTCTAAAAATGGGATCTGGCCAAGATCGATGAGCCAAAAAGACTTTGCATACGTTTATAATAGACATGGGCTACTTCTCTCATTGTCCATTAGTTTTGAGATCAAACCCATGAATATTAATATTTATTTCAGTTCTCATTTCAATTCATATAAGTAAATGGGATATAAGTTTTTAATACTTTTTTGGTCTATTTCAAGATTTTTAATAACAAAATTGGTATTACTAATTCTTGTCTTCTTAACAATAAGAAGGAACCTTATCCTATTCACCATTAAATATTTGATAACTAAGAGAGAAATGCAAAAACATAGATGTAAATCTAAAAATTGTTGTAGTGCAGAAAAATAATGTAGGCTTATTGCAAATCCCTAAATTGTTGCTAGGTAGATTTGTGACTTAATTATGAGTTGGGTGGTAGATGAGGTAGATGACACTTTTATAAAGGATTCTCACCAATACAATTCATGCCATCTTTACTATCAAATCACCTCTTTGATTAGTTTTTCGTGATGCTACCTATGAAGAAGCAACAATAATTCTCCTTCAATGCTAAATTAGATCTATAATATTTACTCATCATTCCTTCTATACGAAAATTCATTTTATTTTTTTGTCAAATCGAACATAGTTCAAATGGTTAAGGTACCTATCTCCGACCAAAAGATCATATATGACATCATTTTTCATTAACGACGAATAGCATCTGTCATTAAAATCTGAATTTGTTGTAGTATATCTTAAAATTTTTGTGCTACCATATGTAACAAGTAACATTGAATTGTTATATACAATAAATTATTTTATCTTGGTTTTAGTCTAGATCAGAGGAATGTTAGAATATTTATTTTAGTTTTTTAACTTTTTAAGTTTATTTTATTTTTATTCTTGAACTTCAAAATATTTAATTTAGTGTCTAGTTTTAAAAATTATTTATTTTGATCATTCCATTTGTTATTTTACTCTTAACAAATAATGGATATCATGGCATCGAGCATAAATATAAATTTGCCGACATGAGATGTATCTTAAGCCATATATATCTAGGTTTTCTGAGATAAGTAGTGGATAAGAGGGAATTAGATAACAAAGTAATAGCAAGGATCAAAATTATTTTTTTGGACCCATTTTTTTTATAAAGAAATTATCATAGACTAAAATAGATATTTTAAAAATTTAAGAAACGAAGAAATAGATTTAAGAATTCAATGACCAACGATTTTATATTATGCTATCATTGTCATTGAATAGATGAGTTTTAAAAAGAATTTTCAAAATCAATTATGCTATCATTGTCATCGAGTCACCTTCGTGATCGATTTTTTTTGTAATGCTACCTATCAACAAGCAACACAAGTTTTTATACTAGATTAATAAGACATATTTGATTTTTTTTTTTTTTTTTGCAAAATATTTGATTTAAAATTGACAAGTAATTGAGAACACTTATTTAATTATTGGTTAAATTATAAGTTTAGTCCTTGAACTTTTGAGGTGGTGTCTAATAGATACTTGAACTTTCATCTAACTCAATATTACTCCAAAATCAACCATGCTTTAACTTTGGAGTATTTATGATTGAGTCACCGAAAAGAAAGGTAAACCTCATTAGTAGGATAGTTAATTACTATCAATTATTTAAAATCTTTCCTTAACCATGCTTACATGATCTCATGGTCCCTTTCATTTGAATGTAGTGTCGGTTTATTCATGTACCCATTTTCTTATCTATTCGAGTGCCACACTATTAGACAGTAGACACAAAATGAAAAGCTTATTATGGACTTTATTAGATACATTTTAAAGTTTTAGAGACCTATTATATTAGACATAATGCTGAAAGTTTAGGAACATATTAGATATTTTAAAATACAAATACTTCCTAACACTTTGTAAAGTTGTTATTCAAACCTCAATATTTCTCCAAGATCTAAAATTGATAACGCATTTTATTTTCTACAATCTAAATATATATATATATATATATATATATATAATAACCATATATTTTGGATATGGGGCATCCTCTTACCAAACAATGTTTCATGTTTTGGATTGGTCCTATGGGCTATGCTATGGAAATTAGTTAGGTATTGTGTCCTAAAACTTGGGGCAAATCTTATCATAATGGCAGTCTTTAATGAGCTACCTAACTCTCTTGTGGACACATATCTAATTAATTAGGGTTATGTAATCAAAGAATCCAATGACTACCCTTTTCAGGGTTTTGAAAAAAGGTCTCCCTTTTAGCTCTTGCTTTTGAATTAGGGTTTGCCTCTAAAATCCCAAAATATTTTATTAAAAGTCAGAATTTATGTTGGTGTGGACAACATTAGTGATAACAGTATATGGAACACAATCATGTATATAAAATATATTTCAAATTATAAATTCGAATTTATGACGTTCTAAAGGAGACAAATGACAAATGTATTAACCACTAAGCTATATGCTTAAGATCAAGTTATTGTAAAATATTTTTAGTTGAGAAACCAACTAATATATTTTGAAACAAATAGGAAAAAGAAAATAAATTATTTCCCGAAATAATTTTTGGTTAAGTTAATTAAGTTATACCTTTGCTTTTATACTTTTTAAGTAGGTTAGTTGTGTCAATTTTCCCTATCCTTCAATTTTTTCCCATATCAATAATTCATATAGCTAAGTCTTGGTGATTGGCATAGTGGTAAGGGCTTAGGTCTTGTTTGTATCACCTACTATGAAGTCTTAAGTTTAAGTCTTACGCTAGTTACAGTATTGTTCAGCCCAGACAACGAACTCTGATTATAGAGATCCACAGTGTAAATCACACCATATCAATTTCAGAAAACCAAAGAAAAAAAATTTAAATAATAATAAAAGTCATATGGTTAATGGGCTTTAGAAAATGATTGACCTATGTCTCACCATTACACAATAATTCACACATTAATGTTAGGTTAATGTTATGTCAGGTATGTGTAATATTTTTATTCAAACGGTAGAGACTATTGAGATGAATAAAAATTAAGGTAGAAGGATGAAATTGAAACTCTTAAAATATTAGACGTTTTTTTTTTTTTTTTACATCCTATTTAAAGGAAGTTTTTCCTCATATGCCACTACACAATATACATTATTGAACATATTYTATGACCTTTCCTTTCATGTAAACATTAAATTTGTGTAGGTGAGTATCTCTATTTCAAATAAAGAAATTAAGAATATGTTATAATTCTCATCAATTATTTAATAACTTTGCCCTCCTAGATATTATTAGATAATATTAATTTAAATAGAATTAAAAACTTACGGATATTATTTCCCATCATACATTCTCTATTTAATTTATATGCGTAGGAGAGACAATAACTTTTCATAATTCGACTATATTCTATGTATTATGCAGCTTCTGCCAACTTTTACATATTTTTTATTTTTATTATTATTGTATCCTTTTTTTCAAAAAAAAAAATGAATTTTGCATGAATAAAAATTAATTAAGAGTTGGTAGCTTTTCCCCCTCTTCTCTATTTTATATAAAATTTGCATGAAAAGGTGAAGGTGGTGCAAAATTATGCATCCCAACACTTCACACAAAGCATAAACTCCTTTTTTTTTTTATGTAGCTTATTTTTAATATTCATAGAACTAAAATTATCTATTTATAATATCAACCAATGAAAATAAACTACCAGAGAAGATGCTTTTTGTATTACACTAAGAAAGTGAACAAACAAATAGACAATAACAACCAAATGCTAATAGAGAACCAAAAAAAAAAAACACAACAAAATGTTATAAGCTCATTCACTCTAAACAACAACTTAACAACTACGGTTTTAAACAAATAAACTTCAACATGAAATAACTTTTGAGCAGAAATCAAACGAAAGTGATTTAAATTAAGTGACTTCAAGGATAAGGAAGAGCAGAGCCACCACCAAGTCCGCCGCCAAGTCCGCCACCGAGACCACCACTGGCACCTCCGCCTCCGATGGTTCCTCCGATGCCACCAACGTTACCGCCCAAGCCGCCTCCCGTGCCTCCCAAGCCGCCTAGACCTCCGCCGATCCCAGTACCGCCACCGAGTCCACCTCCAAGGCCGCCACCGAGGCCACCGCCCCCAACTGCACCACCGACCCCGCCGAAGGGGAGGCCATTGTTGCCGATGCCAGAGTAGCCACCCAGACCACCATAGGTGAAGAAGTTCTTTTGGTCCTTGAAGGTGGCGTCTGTCGGCGTAGGCGTAGGCCTAGCCATAGCGTGAGTGGCCACCAGAGCCAAAAGCAAAGTCATGAAAACTTTCGCCATTGGATGCTTCTCCTTTCTTCTTCTCCTAACACTTGTCTTTTGAGTGTGTTGTTGGCCAATGGAGCTCTGAGCTGAGGGTTTTAAAGGTCAGAGAGCGTTGAGGGACAGTTGTGGGAAGTAAATGAGTTTCAATGCTGTGGCAGAGCCTGCCTCTGTGAAATTACCAACTGGGGCTTGGTTTTTGTTTCGGTTGTACGCTTTTAATGAGGACATTTTGAAGATTTTAGGAGAATTTATCAGGTTGGTTAGAGAGGTATGAGTGGGGATTGGTACTTATGGTTTTTTTTCTGCGTCAAGTCTTCCCCAAAAGAAGGATTTTTTTACCCACATACGCTTCTTATAGTATCTCTTCTTGTACATTAGGGTTTTAATTATAAGGTAAACTTTCAATATTTTTCTACGTCCTTTTCAAAATTCAAAATTTATTAATCACAGATGATGTGACATTAAAATATATTTTATTAATGAAGTTATAAATGTGGGCTTTTAATAATTTGGTTTCGTTCTTTCAATTTAATGTTAAAGACATTAGGGTATAGATTAAATTGAAGCAGGATGGTTCGAACCTAAATCCTAGATGTATAATTTTAAAAATTTAGGACAGATTAGAGAAAACTTTAAAATTTAATATATAGTAGAAGATAATCGAGAGGACTCCTCTCCTTATTTCACTCTACCCGTTTTTTTTTAAGAGATACTACTCGAACCATTCATTAAAAGGGGTATATGAGGAACATACAAAAGAGAGAGCCTAAATGAAAGCACTCCAGTTTAGCGAAATGGTAGCTACAAAATAAGGGCGATTTTGATGACCAAGACGATGCAGCAATCCTAATATCATCCGATACAGAAACTCTACCCATTTTGATTAATATGGACTCATTAGAAATGCTAAGAAGAGATCACTTCATTGAAATTTTTTTTTTTTTTTTGGAAAGATGTGTCATTCATTCTAGTATGTGAGAAACAAACAAAAAAGATGATGAGGCTTTAAAAGAAAAGCACTCAAATTAAAAGAAATGGTAACAATATCATAATTAAAAAAGTAGGGGGATTTTGAAGACCAAATATATCTTCTCAAAGATTGAGAATGGATTCTGAAGAATCAACAAAGATTCTATTGTTGCACTCTAGCCAAATATTCCCTAAAATAGCGCCAATAGCATTGCTCCATAATATATGGCGTTGCTGTTTTAGTGGGGAAGAGAGGCTTTCACGTACAAAGTGATCAATTTTATCACGTTTTTGTATCAATATTATACGAAGTGATCAATTAAAATTAAGTGAATATTTTAATTTTTTACAATTTGTGTATCATAACTCTTAAAATTTACTGTCACGGTGAAGGATTTGATCTAAAAATAGTTGATAAAGGGACAAAACTCGCACGCCTCAGATAAAATTGAAAAAATAAAACGTGATATATAAATTAAGAGCAATCATCCTAACAAGGCAGCACCATGCATTATGGAACAATGTTATTGGCTGTATTTTATGAAACATTTGGCTAGAACGCAACAATAGAATCTTTGTCAATTTGTCAAAATCACTCCTCAGTCGTTGGGAGGAATAAAGGTCCACGCATCTCTTTGGTCTTTAAAATCCCCCTACTTTTGTAATTATGATATTGTTACCATTTCTCTCAATTGGAGTGCTTTTCTTTAAAGTCTCCTCCTTTTTTTGTATGAATGATACGTCTTTTCAAAAAAAAAAATAATAAGAGCAATCATCATGCGTGGCTTATTGGTTCAAATGGACTAGGATTAATCGAAAGGTTTTTAGTCTAAACTTTATGATGATCACATATCTTAAGAATTAGTAATTCCTATGTATGGCCCAGGCACTACCGAATATTTAAAAAGACGGTTAAAAACCTAAGAGATGATTGAACTTTGGTAGCTATTTGGTTTGGTACCTAAGTTTTAATTCCTAAATTTTGCATYAAAAAGAATAATGTTTTTTCTTTAACTTAACATATTATTAATTATTGGACAAGAATATAAATCAACTGGAAATCTAATGTTAATGAACCTATTATATCTGCCTTCAAACACTTGTCCATATAGACACCTTAACCGAACAAAAATGGCTTTATGTTGAGGCTTCACTTAAATATATTAGAAATTTAATGAGAATAAATTATATACATAATATTAAGAATATCATTATAAATAAATTTAATTTAGATATATCAATAAAATACTTACAATAAAATATATCACTGATATATACACTAAATATATATATCACTGATATATACACTTGATATATCAATAAGAAATCTACGATATTACTTAAATAGAAATATTCAACTTTAAAAAGTTTCATCAATGATATACATAATATGAAGTATATCATTCATATATTTAGTGCAATCAAATATAAAGTATAATAGATCGCACTAAATATATGAATGATATATTGATATACTTATTATTCTATAAATAAGTTATATAACTTATATATCCAAAATGAAGTATATACATATATACTTAATATATCAGTTAGAAGTGGTTAACCTAAAATCTTATATCGAAAGAAGTTTTAGTGATTTATATATATCATTCATATATTTAGTACGACTTATATATTTTCATATTAGACGATATATTAGTTATATTAATCACTATAATTGATACACCTAATATTAAATATATATATATATATATATATTACTAATATACTTGATATAAAAATAAGAAATATCATGTTTACTTCAAATAAAATTTTCAACTCGAGGAAGATTTATCAATGACGATATACCTAACATGAAGTATATCAATTATCTATTTAGTGTGATTAATATACTTGATGTTAGATATATCAGTTATACAGTCATACATTTCTACTCACTCTATATTAATTATATAATTGATATATCTAATATCAAGTATATCGGTGATGTACTTCATATTTGATACATGTGACCTCTAGAGGTAATGATGGCAAAATTGAAATATAAAAAAATAATTAAAAAAATTTGAATTTAAAGATTTTGCCATATCTGCAAAACCAAAACAATTGTTGCTATATTTGCAAATATGGCAAATTTAAGCCTAAATAATTTAGGTCAATCTCAACTCATAGATCAACTCATGTGATTTTTTGTGAGTTAGAGGTTCGCTTATGAACTAAACAAAATTAAGGATAAAATATCAACTCAAAAAGGTTGCTTTAAATATGTTGAACTAAGAAAACACTTAAACTTTAAAAAATGGCAAACTTTATGTAAGAATATATAGGTTAGTTCTTTTGACATACTATAATAACTCTATATTAAAGTTATTTATTGAGTCAATGAATACATATATAATATATACTGAAGAAACAGCAAATAATTTACACATCTCAAAATAATGGTCAATTTGAAGTTATTGTAAATAATTTTAATATTTGTATAATTTAAATGTCAGATATCATTATTTCATGCAAGTCATTTACTACACAACAATTCGCAGTACAAACTCAAGTAATTATAATGTACAGAAATAATAATTAATAATAGTAATAGTAATAGTAATTAATAATTGAGAGGGAGAGAAACGTATATTTTGTTAAGAAAAATGTATTATATATGTTTGATGTGTAAGGTTGTGTTTTGGAGTAATAGTAGAATAGTTATTTTGAAAAAAGAAATTTAAATTTAATTGATTTTCAAAAATTAATATACAAGTGATACCTAAAAATCAATTTAAGATGATTTTAAACGATAAAATTTAGCTGGTGAGAATTATCAATTTTACACCATTCCTCTAGAATAAAAAAGATTAATTTTAGAAGGATTACACAAAATCCGAAAAATATAAAGATTACACACTAATGTAATATACATATGCTTAAATCAGATCTAATTGTGTGAAGCTTAACTAAGAGTTGGATTTTTCAGCGTAGTATTTTTCCTCTATTTAAGGAAGACTTAAGGTCACTAGAATATATTCTTCATATGAATTTCAAATGAGAGGAATTCAAATTTTTAGAGCGTAATTTCAAATTCTTAGATAAAGGTAATTCAAATTAGAGAAACTATAATTTTTTCCTACTTATGAGAGTGGCCTCATTCTCAAGGTAGAAGATAATGAAGTTAAAAGAAATGGCTGACTTTTGTATTTAAAGTATTTGATGTAAATTCGTTGTTTGGGTTATCTTAAAAAATGTGTTGTTTTGCGTCGCTGCGAGGGTTTAACTTTCTCACATCATAGGTCGGAGAAACGAAGAATTTCTAGTTTGACAAGAAAAAAAAGCCCAGAAATGCAGCTTAAATAGGGGAAGAAAGTTGACTGATCATTTCTGGTTTGGTCATTTCCCTGCCATGGCTTGTCGGCCATTTCTGGTTGACCATTCTTAGACGACCATTTTTGGTCCATTATTTCTAGTTGGCCATTCGTGTGGCTTAAACACATTTTCGATTCTGCCGCTTTTAAATCTTTAGTTGGCTTGATTAAGTCAATTGGGTTCGTTAATCAATTCGACTTTTTTTTTTTTGTCTACTTTCAATTTTTAATACCCTTAAAAGTTTTTTAATCGGTACGATGGGCTTTTAATGAAGTCTCTTGGGTTTATTAACGAGTTTGTTCGGATTGTTTACCTACTTTCAATTTTAATATCTTTGGATTTATTAACTTGGCTCAGCTTGTTTGCCTGCTTTCAATCTTACCCTCTTGAGTAATTTCTTGAATTAGCCTGGATAAATTAATTGCTACTTACCTAACCCCTGGAGGTTTTTAAACTGCAAAATGGAAAAAATTCATTCAAATCAAACAAAATATCATAGCTAGTAGAACAAAAGCTTACCTAGCTGAAAATAAAATAACATGCTTTAAATGAAATCTACCTAAAATAATAAGTGACATGCTTAAATTTTGAAAAACTAGTTTCTAACTTAGTTTTTTTGGTTGCAGGCTAATCACATGCATTGGTTTAATCTCTTTTGAGGCAGTGTAGTAACATTCCCTTAGAAACTCTTTGTTCTTCTTCCTCGGTATGATTTTCTGTTTCCTTTT